AGCCTAGTTGGCCCCCAAAAAGTAGATTACAATGAAGAAAAATCACAGGTAAAGCTTCCAGAAGCATATCGCAAAATATCAAATATATATTTCGAAAATACTACAAAAAACAAAAACAACTATCAAACAGCCCCAAAAAATTCCACAAAAATCAACAAAATTACCAGGAGGGTGAGATGAATCAGGCCATGTGTTCGCCCGTTCCTAACGTCCATACAGATGCTGACATCATCGTACAGAAGATGATGTCAGCACATCTAGGTCACCATGTGAAAATTTCCAGACTTTAACAAGACATGTGTAAAGAATTTATGTATTTATTGATTGTTGTTTGATTGATTGTCTATATTACAATTACAAGGATTCCTATTATATAGGAGTGTGTTTGGGAGTAGGTGGAGAGTAGGTGAAGTGGAGGTGGTAGTGGTGTAGTGGGTTAGGTTTAGTGGAGTAGGTGAGGTGGTAGTGGTGGTAGGTTTATGGTAAATTCTAACAGCCCCCCGCAAACTCAAGGAGGATAGAAACTAACCAACTTGAGTTTGAAGAGAAGAACAAAACAAGAAAATACATAAAAATAAAAAAGGATAGGAGACACTGTATGGTCGTGTCAGACCATTGGTGAAGACACTGGATGGTGGTGTCATAACGTTGTAGAGGACACTGTATGGGGGTCTACCTCTGTGCTTCCCAGTCCACCGAGCACATTGCTTTCCCGCTGTTCCTCAAACGCAGCATATGGCGGACCTCCGAATTGGAACATGACAGTGGCCTTCCATTTTAGCTCCTTGTTTTCCGCCTTCAGTGCGCATATCTCTGCTCGCGCATCCTTATACATGCGTTGGAGCAGAGCCAATTGGGCATTTAACTGCTATACCTCACTTGTCCTATTTTGAAGCCGGTGAGACAAGTTCGTAACCGCAGTCATGGTCTCCACACATGACTTCAATGTATAATGGTTGGCCTCAATATCCGATTGCGCTGCCATTATTTGCTCAACTGACAGTATCGGAAAGTTCAACGGCGCAAAAACAGGGGCGCTTGGTCTAGGGACGTTTGGTTGCAATTCAAGGGCGACAGACCCGATTATCTCTATTGTGGACTCGTTTAGATCTGGAAAAATGGTAAGCACACTACGGGAAGAGGAGGCCATATCAGCGGCAGCACAAGCAAAGGGTTGCAGAGTTTGTCGCTTTGGTTTGCTTTCAATCTCTAAACCGGCCTCAACCTCGGTTTAAATAGACAATGCAGAGACGAAGAGGACAAAACAGGATCACGTGCATCGCGTGCCGCTCGATGCCACAGTGTCGGGCGCGACTTTTGATGTATTGGGCGCGACTTTTGAGGATGCAATTTTTGAGAGCACAACTTTTGAGGGCGCGATATATATATATATCTTTTGGGCAGCCTATATACACGACAATACAGTGTCTTTTACAGCGGTACAATACGACCACACAGTGTCTTCTACAACGGTCTGACACGACCACACAGTGTCTTCTTCAGCGGTTCGACACGACCACATAGTGTTCTCTACAGCGGTTGGACACAATCACACAGTGTCTTCTACAGCAGTTCGACACGACCTCACAGTGTCTTCTACAACGGTTCGACACAAACATACAGTGTTTTCTACAACGGTTCGATACGACCTCACAGTATCTTCTACACCGGTCTGACACAAGCCATACAGTGTCTTCTAATCGCAACCAAACGCCCCTGGACCAAGCGCCCCTGTTTTTACACTGTTGAACTTTCTGATACTGTCAGTTGAGCAAATAATGACAGCACAATCGGATATTGAGACCAACCATTATACGTTGAAGTCATGTGTGGAGACCATGATTGCAGTCATGAACTTGTCTCATCGACTTCAAAATAGGACAAGTGAGGTACAGCAGTTAAATGCCCAATTGGCTCTGCTCCAGCGCATGTATAAGGATGCGCGAGTAGAGATATGCGCACTGAAGGCGAAAAATAAGGAGCTAAAACGGAAGGCCACTGTCATGTTCTGATTCGGAGGTCCGCCATATGCTGCGTTTGAGGAGCAGCAGGGAGGCAACGTGCTCCATGGACTGGGAAGCATGGAGGCAGGGCCGTTAAGGGACGCCCAGGACGAAGGCAAGAGGAAGAGATCAGCGGCTGAGTAGAGAAAGGGAAAAGAAAAAAATCTCTCCTGTGTGCGGGTGGTTGTGTTTTTGTTTAGGTGTTTTGTTTTTTTGTTTTTTTTATTTTTGGTGTAGAACTGTGATCGGGGTTGATCTCGAATATGAATAAAACAAGGTGGTTGTGAATGGTGGATGTTTTTTTTTTTTTTTTTAATGGAAAAATTATGTGTCAAAATAATATATTATAACAAACATATATATATAGTAAAATAAAAGAAAGTGCGCTGGATTATGGCTCCAGGCCTCTTTTTGGTGAAAAGAATCAGAATATATATATATATATGATTATGTTTGTATGAAAAAAAAATAAAATAAGGAAAAGGCGGAAAATGTTAAAAAAAAATTGTGGGTGTGCTGGAGTGGGTTCAAAAGTGGACTGATAATGAGTACGAAATAAAAAAGAAAAGGAAAGTGGGGAACAAGCACCAATAAGCTTTATAATAAAAAAATTTTGGGCGGTGCGTGCATGTGGACTGTGAATGATGATTTTGGGGTGGAGCTCTAGGCGACACTGATGGCTCCTCTCCGCAATAGTCCAGCTCAGTCTGCAGGTAGGTGAGTATGTCAAATGGATTTTTTGGGATCCACCATTGGACAAGGGGAGATTAAGTTGCAGGCCCATATAATAACCAAGGTGGCCAACTTTGCTGAAGAAACCCTGAAGGAAACTAAAGGGTTAAGATCTTGGTTGGGCTTACTTAATTACGCTCGTAGCTACATTAAAGACTTGGGCCGAATGCTAAGCCCACTGTATTCCAAAGTCAGCCCAAAAGGAGAAAAGAGACTCAATTCACAAGATTGGAGCTTAATCCGCGAAATCAAGAAACGGATCCAAACTCTGCCCAATCTGTCGATTCCTCCTGAAGGATGTGTCAAACGACATTTGGCAGGCCAATCCAGAGCTTTCTGTGGAAAGTGTAATGCCCTAACCTGCGCATTATGTTCCACTTATTATTTTGGCTTTACCAAGTTTGTCATGCAAAAGTCGCCAATCCCCTATAACCAGAAACCATTACTCCAAGAGCAATAGGAGTATATCAGGTGGTGTGAAGCAGAGATGAAGCGGTTACGGGAAGAGGCATTACAATACAAAACTGAGCTAGAAGAACTAAGACTCCAAATGCAGTTGGAACAAGATGAACGAGATCTCAGAAGAAGAGGTTTACTCTGGATCCTCCCTCTTGTTGTCTCAAAATCCACTGATAGAGTTTTTTCAGTCCATGGCGTTCACCAGTTTGAAAGCTGAGTTTTTGCTGGTTCATGGCCTGGGTGTAGAGCTGAGAGAGCGAGTTCGCAGCACTACAAAACGTCGAATACATCGTTCGATCAACCTCGTCGAGGCTCGTCGCCACAGACTTCCTCTTCTTCCCCATCAAGAATCTACAAACCCCCCTTACTTTTCGATTCGATCTCCGCCAAAATCACAAAATCAAATACATGAAATTCAATTCGATAAAATCACGATTCGAATACAGATTTTGCTCTGGCAATCGGTAGGGCTGAAATCGAACTACCTAGAGGGAAACGTTTTGGAGGACAAGGAATTGGAATCCCGGTTCTGTTGTTGCACAAAGTTGGGTTCGTTGTTCCTAAATCCTTGTGCAATATGATAGTTCTGGAGGCTCCTACGAACGGGACTTGACAGAGAACGATGAGGAAGAGAACGATGCTGCTGCGGCTGCCGTTGCCGACTTGGACGACGCCGATGGAGGTGATGATTTACAGAGTGAGGTTGCAGAGACCAAGGTGAAAAGAGAGGAGGTATGTGTTGGGGTCCGGCGGGCGGTGAAGGCAAGGTTGCCGCCCGCCGGAAGATGAAGATCACCTAGAGCTAACCTATTGCTCTGATACCATGTAAAGAATTTATGTATTTATTGATTGTTGTTTGATTGATTGTCTATATTACAATTACAAGGATTCCTATTATATAGGAGTGTGTTTGGGAGTAGGTGGAGAGTAGGTGAAGTGGAGGTGGTAGTGGTGTAGTGGGTTAGGTTTAGTGGAGTAGGTGAGGTGGTAGTGGTGGTAGGTTTATGGTAAATTCTAACAACATGTTATTGTAAGATCGAAGCGCTCTAATACCAAGTTAAAGTGTAAAGTTCAAAGGAATAAGGATTAAGGTTCTCGAGGAAAGAGAGAAGAGAAGAGGAAAACAGATAATGCAGAGAACAGGTTATTGGGTCATAATTAAAAACCCTCACCCAGCACATATTTATATTAAAACATTAATATTGCAATGACAATAATAACCTCAATATAAAATAAAATAACATAACAAATCTAACAAGAAGGAAAATGAACAAGCAGACAGGAGTCAACAAAAATCAGCTGCTAGTTGAAAACTAAAATTAATACTTCAAAAGTGCTATAGGAAATGTGAGAGAGAGAGAGAGAGTGGATATTTGATTGCATTAAACCTTCCTCAAAACAAATGCATGTATGTTCACCATGCAAGTATGCATGGCCCATTACAACCAACTTTTATCACTAAGCTAACACATTCAAAGACGCATTAAGTCAAACACGATAAAACCTTGCCCTGCATGTCACAGAGGTTCACAATTCAGGCATGCATGACCAGTGCGGCACTTATCTCTTCCATGATGCATGCATGCATGCCCACTTAAAAATAATAATTCCACTAAAAGAAGAAGAAAGAAAAATAAATCAGACGACATCACCAACAGGAAAAAAAATATTTCTTTTCATTAAACTCCTATTATATATATATATATATATTAAAAAAGCATATCAATCCGCTATGTTAGCGAAGACACAATTGTATCAATATACACACACACACACACACAGAGATTACTTTTCAAAAGTCCATACCTGAAGTCTCGCAGACAGATGAACCTCAGGAGACCCCACAGCTGTCCCTTGTTTTATAATGTCATAGTTCTGGCTTCCAATGACAGATGGTCGATGAAATGATTGCACAGCAGATAGATGAGATAATGATACACTCTCAGTGAAGGATGACTTCCCTTCCATTTGATGAGAAACCCAAAGGAAAAATTTGAAGAAGAAACTTAATGTTAAAGATCTCCGAAACTCCACCATCCCGCCAGGTGCATCTTTCTTGATCAAAATGTCCTTTTCCAGGACTTTCAAAGCACCCTGCAACAGCTCATTGTTCCAAGTCTTTGCAATAAGGTAATCTTTTGTTTTTGTTGCAGAAAGAGAAAGAGGAGCAACCCCACCATATGCAATTGATGCATCTGAAACTACCCATTTTTCATTCTTTTCTTCAAGACAAACACGAATTCCAGCATTTACAATGGCAATATCATCATCCCTTCGATGAGCCTGCTTAAATTCTTTCACAAATTCAAATGGTCTAGTCCAAGGTAAAAAAACTGAGAGTAAAATTTCAGTACTTGCCAGATCAACCTTACGATAACCAAGGAAGAAATTTTCTGCTGCAACCGTTCTAATGTTTCCCTGGCAATCAACAATTTGAAATTTTGCTCCTGCAGCCATCCAGAGAGGATTCAAGTCTGATATTGGACTGGCTGTACAGATGTTCCCACCAACAGATGCAACATTTTTTATCTGTGTACCAGCAAACCATTTTATCTGTTCAATGAAGGCTTTGCAGGATGAAGTCTCATGATCAGCTCGCTGTTTATTTGCCTTTCTAAAAACTTTAGAAAGTTCAGACAATCTTACTGCAGCACCTATCTCCAAACCATCATCCTTAATGCTCAATTTATTTAGTTCAGGTACACATGCAACACAGACCAAAACTTGATACTGAATTCCTTTTAACCTCATTTCAATACCTATCTCAGTATTACCTATCACCAATTTTGCATCTGGGTATCTTGATTTCAAATCTAAAACGTGTTGAAGTCGTAAGGGTCGGTACCACTTAAGCCCACCAGACCCTTTCAAACTTAGATATGTGAGTTTCCTCAATACCAGCTCAGAAGGAAAAATGAGCTCTTTGTTGGTATACATCTTTCCATCGATCTCACTGTATGAGATAGGCTCATACCTTTCACCACAAGCTGTTTTTTGTTCATTGGTATCATCTTTGCAAACAGTTTCTGATCCACATGAGCATGGTTTTCCAGTTGACGGGCAAACAAACTCACCCCTTGGAGTGCTACTTAGAGATGCATCAGTGTATAGCATATCATTAGTTTTTGCAAAGACTTGAAATGCATCAACAATTGGTCTGTAACCAGTGCATCGGCACAAATTTCCTGCAAGGCTTTCTTCAATCTGCTCTTCAGTAGGTGGTGTTTGACTTGACCTTAATAATGCATACATCGACATAATAAAACCAGGAGTACAAAATCCACACTGTGAGCCATGAGATACTGCTAATGATTCCTGCACAACATTCAGAAAATTCAGATATAGTTGAAAACATTATAACTATAGAAAATATGTGACAAGCTATAATACCTGAACCGGATGCAGGCCATATCTACGGTTACCAACTCCTTCCACTGTAATTACATGCATCCCTTCCACAGAATACAAAGGAGCCAAGCATGCATTGACAGCATAATGCCTACAAAAATAATTAAATTAAAATAATTTAGGTTGTTGGATTTGAACTCATAGAGACAGGCAACATGAAAAAAAGAAGCCAAGACAAATTAAATACCAAATTTTGCATTTTTTTTTTTGAAGTAAATATGCAAAACACATCAATTTTATGCAAGTTTTTTCATTATGCAATACACATCATCATATGACAGAATGGGAAACAAACTTACTAGGGTAGAATGCTAATAACCTTCAACAAAAATTTAAAATTTACTGCATATTGGAAGTGGGAAGATGTGCAGAATGTGAACACAAAAACCTAAGATAATCTAATGCAAAGCATGATAACAAGAGGGCATGATAACAAGAGGCCAAATTCTGATACAAATGTGAACACAAAAACCGAAGATAATCTAATGCGAAGCATGATAACAAGAGGGCATGATAGCAATGTGAGAATAATATTAGTATAGTATATATTATGTGAATATTGTTTCCTATTTAGAATTGGTTTAGATTTATTCTTGTTTCCTATTTAGGATTAGGTCTAGAATTGGTATATATATCAAATGTACACATTGTATTGATACACAATTTGAATATACAGAAAAATATTCAGAAATCTTATATGGTATCAGAGCAACGTTCGAAACCCTAGGTCAAACAAAGAAAAAACAAGCACCTACAAGCAAGGTTTTAAAAAGCGGTTGCAACCGTTACGTAACAGTTGTGGCAGTTACAGCCACCCGTTACAGCCGCTTTTGCGGTGTGATTGAGATTTACAGGTGTGTCAGTCGTAGCGGCTGTCGTAGCGGTCGTAACGGTGCCATAATGGCCTGTTATGCACCGTAACATAACGATTCTAAACTGTTCTTTTTTTTTTTTAAAAAAAAAAAAAAGCTGAAAATGGGAGAAGAGGGATAGAGAGAGAAGAGGGAAAATGAAGAGGAAGATGGAGAAGTAAGAGATAAAGAGAAAAGAGAGAAGATGAAGAACATGTTATTGATTTGTTGAAATGTATAATTTATTTTTTAAAACTATTCAAATTAAAATTTGCATATGCTTCCACAAGTATATTAATTAAAAAAATAATTTTACACATCTAACTCCAATAAAAAAAAATTTTGCCACAAATGTAATATGAGTTTATGACATATAAAGTCATTAATTATTAAAATAAAATGTAAAAAAGTTAATTCATAGTGATTTAAAAATATAAAATATATTGGATCATACTAAAAATTTATAAAAATTGATCAATATTTATTTTAAAACCCACTAAATATGATTATGGAAAAAAAAAATATGTGGTAAGTTTTTTTCAAATTGTGCGAAAAATAAAAAAATTCACGGTTCCTGTTACCGCTACCGTTACGCTACGGCCTTTACACCTCTCAACCACAACCACACCACTGCCGCCGTTACGGCGACCGCAACCGCTTTTCAAAACCTTGCCTACAGGCGAGAAGCAACAGGACAGTGAATAAGCAAATGATCCACTATCTCCGCATCTGCACAACACAAGCAACACCAATTCACCAAAATATGATGCCGACGGATCAGATTATCAATAGTCAATATTCTACCAAATCCGTCCACACAAAGAAAGCCACATTCGACGGAACACTAGGAACCCACACGTGACGCGAAGGGAAAAAGCTCCCACAACCGCCACACAAAGTCCCATAAAATGACGAGACGAAAAAAACACTTTGCATGAGGAGCCCCCCAAACCAAAACATCCTCCCCCTCCCTAACCTCATACAGAAAGGCTAACAAATCCACTAACTGCCCAAACTCCCAATCTTGAGTCTATTGACGAAGCACTATATCCCAAACCAACTCCTCAACCCAAATATGAAGCCACCATCACATCAGGATCCACCACCAACTAAAAGATCAAAGGAAAACGCTCCTATAAAATAATCTCCCCACACCATTGATCCTTCTAAAACTGCACACGTGTTCCATTACCCACTCAATACTAGATTTGATCCCAAAACCGAACCCTACCCAACCAAATTCCTTTTCACAAACCACACCCATGATAACCCCCCACCTTCCTGATACACCAATCACCCTTCCCTAACCCATACGTGGATGCCACCACCCTTCGCCATAACTAATCTCGTTCATTGGAAAACCTCCACAAGTACTTTCCCAACAAAGCCAAATTAAACTTACACAACCTCCTCACCCCCAACCCCCATCCTCCTTAGGACAACAAATCTGCTCCCAACTAACAAGGTGATACCGAGCTTCCCCACCATCACTTTCCCACAAAAAATCTCGCTGCAACTTCTCCAAACGACGAGCCACGAAACAAGAATGACATAGACCGACATAAAATAAGTCGGAATACTACTCAAAACGCTCTTCACCAAAGTCAGCCTTCCATCCTTAGACAAATATTATCTCTTCCACCCTGCCAATCGACGTTGCACCCTCTCTAACACCCCATCCCACACCCCTTTCGCCTTGTAAGGAGGCCCCAAAGGCAAACCTAAATAAGACACCGGCAAATAAAACACCTTACAACCCAAAATGGCTGCCAAAGTCGGAAGATGGCTGACCTCCCCTACCGAAATTAATTCCGACTTGGCCAAATTCACCTTCAAACCCAAGACTGCCTCAAAACATACCAAGACATGGTGCAAATGCCCTAATTTCTCCGAGTCAGCCCCATAGAAAATCAAAGCATCATCAGCATACAAAAGATGAGAAACAAAAATCCCATCCCTACTGAAAAACTTGCCAGCAAACCACCCAGCACCGCCCGAATAATACCCCCACCATCTAACAAAATAGGCCAATGGTCAAAAACCAGCCTAGACAAACGCTGTTGAACTGCCCCTGAAAAGTGCTCCTCCCAAGCTCCTATCACCAGAAAACAATCAATCCGCGAAGAACCCCGGCCCCGAGACCATATGTAATCCCCCCTGTAAAGGCAGATCCACCAAATGCAACTCATCAATCAAATCCGAAAAAGCTCGCATGACTCCTATCATACAACCCCTCCAAACCTTTCCCCCGACCACCTCACCATATTAAAGTCACCCCCCACACACCACGGCAGCTCCCATCGAAATGGAACACTCTCTAACTCCAAAAAAATAACCACCACTCCACACATCGTGCTGGACCATTCACCCCTGTGAACACCCATCGATATCCATCTTCCACACATCTGAACAAAAAAGACACTGAAAAAGCCCCAACCTCCTTCTCTCTCACCACCACCCTAGTGTCCCAACAAACAAGGATCCCCCCTGCCACACTAGAAGCTAGAAGGAACACCCACTGAATACACTGACCACCCCAAATCTCCTTAACAACCTCCCCACCCATACACTCCATCTTCGTTTACTGAATACTAACCACATCTGTTTTCACACTTCTCAACAATGCCCCCACCGCCACACGCTTCCCCTGATCATTTAGACCGCCCACATTCCAAGATAATACCTTTACTCTCATTTCAAAAACAACTGTTTCTCCCTTGCTTCCCCAAACGCCTATCATAGTTAATAGAACACTCCAAATTCCGCAACTCTCTTTCCCCCTTCTGACGTTGGACCCCAGTCCGTACCACCTCCCTCGACAAAACCCCACTGTGCCAAGACATCTCTATTGCTGAAAATAATCACATTCCCTCTGTCTCATGCCCTTTAAATGAAACACCTAACAAACGACTAACCTCGTCGATTCTTCCCAAAACCCAATCCGAAACCTCTGCAGGTGAGGGCTCCAAAACCTCAAATACGTCCCCTGCAACTAGGCTATGCCCTACTGTCACGACCCAAACTCGCCCCTATAGATTTAGCGTCGTAACTAACCAGTAATCATAAGATTAACAAAATACGGGACTAGTGGAAGCAAATATACAAAATACAATATCTGTGCAGACATATATAGGACAAAAAATTTAGAACTTATATTCACATGTAAATAGTGACGTCATATATACATATCATTGTCTTACGTCACCCTCACATATAGATAAACAAAAGTCTTGTCCAAGCAGAAGAAAAGGAAAGATAAAAACAAACGTGACGTGCACAAATCTTAATCACTTAAACCACTTGGGAACCTACTCGAGAGGCACATTGGTTGGCTTGACGAGACCGAACTCCAGGCAACAGCTTAAGTCTAGTCTCGCACCTGATCACCTACATGCATAAATAATACAGTGAACTGGAGCCCAGTGAATAACAAGGTAAAGGGTTTAGAAATGATGTCCCGTTAGATTCAAAAATCAGATTTCAGATCAGAAATAGATCCATATTCACCTGCTTATACAAATTTCATAAACAGTCTTGCGTGGTACATCCAGTAGCAAAACAGTACAGTAAGTCTTAAAGACCGAGCAGTCATTTGGTGGCCATCACTACAGTAAACAGTAGTTCCAACAATTGATCTCCTTTTTCTACCTTGACATGTCATCTCATCTTGAATATTTCTCGTCAACTCATCTAAACTAAAGCAAAAAGATAAAGACTTAAGGTTGATCCTTGGTGTAACCCCACAATAATTAGAAATTCACTTGTCTCTCCAGCCGGCGATTTGAAAGTGGTCACTAAACCTTCATACATGTCCCTAATCACATCAATGTAGCCTTTTGTCACTCCTTTCTTCTCTAACACTCATCAGATTATATCTTGAGGCACTCTATCATATGTTTTCTCTAGATCAATAAAAACTATATAAATGTCCCTTTTCTTCTCACTATACTTTTCTATTACTCTCCTCAAAAGATAGATCGCTTTCATTGTTGATGTGCGTTGGCACATAAATTTCAACTAAATTTATGACACGTATAGAGCCTTATAATAGGAAGGTTGTAGGTAATCACTTCCTAAAAAAAGATCAACATGATCCGTTGAAGTACATAAATAAAACGACGTTGTATCTCAACGACGTTATTCAAGATGCTCAAGTGACACGTGGAGCCTACGAAAGATGACACTTGTAGAGCCTACAGCAAGGACACCACACAGGATGAAACCCCAAAGATCAATTCGG